TGGGGGCAGGGGAGAGCCGGCCCACCTGACAGTGGTGAGGGGGCAGCAGCCGCATCCGTCTGTACCAGCTCGGCGGGTGGGAGCTCTACTTTGTCCTCCTCTGGCCCCCACCGGCTCTTCCGCTTCCTCTTGGCACTGGCTGTGGCGGCCGGCTTCCCGGAGACAGTGGCGGGGGGAGTGGTGGGCGTGGGGGTGGCAGAGGACACAGGGGTAGCAGAGGAGGCAAGGCAGGCGGCAGTGGGGGTCAGGGACACTGACGGGGTCTCAGGGGGGCACTGGCGCTTCAAGCTGGGGTCAGGGGCTGTGGGGCCGTCTGTGGCGCCAGCCTTGGCTCTCCGGAACTCCCCCAGCTTCTGGCGGTAGTACTTGTACCCTTGGCTGTTGGGCTCATACAGAAAGCTGCGGAGGAGGGGAGAGGGCTGTGAGCTGGACCTGAGTCCCCACTGGGACACAATGTCCGAAGCCACTGCATGTCACTACCACCTGCCCCACCAGGTCTCAGTGGCTGCTGGCTCTGCCCAAGGATCAGGTGGTGCACCCACAGACAATGTGAGCACACAACTGCCCTGAGTCTCCTTTTACCAGATGCCCCTACCCTGCCCGAGAGGGAACTAGCGCAGCCCCAGGCCCTCATCTTGGCAGAAGCTTTCCCTGGATCTGTGATGTGAGCAGCCTGGGATATCCAGAGAGGAGAAAAAGCAGGGGGCAGCATGGGTTTGCCAGCAGGCCCTGGGTGCTTGGTTGCTAACTACAGTTTGGTAGTTCCAGTTCAGCCAGAGGACATTGGAAGAAAGGCCTGATGACCAACGACGGAAAAATCAGCCACTGAAACCTGGACAGAGCAGTTCTATTAACACACGTGGGGCCACCAGGTGGGGGTGGGGGGACTCAGGGACAAAACCGTGTCTTCTTGTTGCCAATGCTCGGGGCTGACAGGTCCCATCAGGTGGGGTGACTTAGCAGGTGCCTCAAAACGTGGGTGTTTGTCCTTTGTTTGCAAAAGCAGGAAAAAAGTCCCAGGGCCATGGGATGTGTGTCCCCTCAGGGTCCCAACAGAAGTATCCAGGCGCCCAGGAAGGACAGCATTCAACCCCGAGAAGAGAAAGCAAGGCATTTGCTCAGAGGGAGATGGGGGGGCTGGCTTTGAGGACATTCCAGCCAGGTTCCTCGAGGGATCAGGGATCAGCTCCAGGAGGATCAGCCTTGTCCTGGCCACGCTACCCCTCCTAATGATACCACATTCTGACCACACTGTCCCAACGTCACAGCTCGTCTCCAAGCCAGGACCTCATCCTGACCACATGTACTGACCACCTCGCCTCAGCCAGGTCCCAGAGGGTGCTGTGGGTCTTTCCATCTCCCAGTAGGAGAGTGGGCCAGGCTTGAGACCATGGCAGCATCCCATGACTGTGCCCACTCTCATGGACAGGTCTGCAGCTAGTGTTCAATGCAAGTCTTCTCCTTAGGTAAACCGACTCCCAGCTACCCGGCAACCACGGGAATGAGCGAAGTGGCAACGCCGACCAGGAGCCCAGGGATGTGGCCCACACCCACCCCGTGGTTATCAGACTTCTGGAATCGGGATATCCTAGGGCGCCTCCAGAAGACTGAGGGCACAGTGGGTTAAGCGCTAGACTCCTTAACAGCAAGGTCAATGGTTCTAACCCAGTAGTCCCTCTACAGAGAATGACGAGGTTGTCTGTTCCCATAAAGATTCAGGCTTGGAAACCCTCAAGAGTAGCTCTTCTCTGTCCTATAGGGTCTTTATCTGCCATTGGTCGGTCAGTTTTTCCTACGGGGGTGGCTGTGTGCTGCTGTGGTGCGGGAAGCTTCGGTGCTTCAGCAACGTCACCCCAAATGCACACCAGAGTGACTTGGAACTGATGTGGTGGCATTGCGTGGCGGTGAGATGGAGTCTCCAGTCCAGGGCACCCGACTGCAAACCCAAACACCAGGGCCTAGGGAAAGTTCTCAAGCCCAGGCCCCACTTGCAGTGGACTAAATTGACCTCACCCCACTCAGTCCGTTTTTATCCGCGGTTTCCTGTTTTTTCCCTGCCTATACCCACTACCCGCCCATCTCCTACCAACCCCCCTTGACTCTTGATGGGGACCCTGCAAGTCCAGTCCTGCCTCAGGCCCTCCCCAGGCCCGGCGGCGCCCCCGCCCCGCATCACCTGAAGGCCTGGTTCTCCCGGTTGTTCTGGAGCGCGATGGTCTCCACCTCCGGACCCCCGTCCGCTATGAACCTGGCCAACTTTTCTGCAAGGTTCTTGGCCTCTTCGTCCTCTGGGGGTGAAACTTTAAGCAGGCTGTCAGTACTGAGCGCAACGCACCACACCTACCAGCCTAACTTCCGCTAAGAGCCCCGTGGCAACTTGAGGGGCTCATCTTAGGGGCAATGCAAAGAGAAACAGCAAACGGGAGTCAGATTACTACACGATGCCAAACCTAGGCTGACGCCGCAGCGCCCCCCAACCCACCCCCTGCTGGGAGGCGAACCCTGATTCCATCTCAGGGCCTGCCACTCGAGTCAGGGTGATGCTTCCAGCCCCCACCCTGGGACTCACCCAGGTTCAGTGTATCGACATCTCTGCCCCCCCCTCCCCCCCACCCCGCCCCGCCAGTGGTCAGGTCTGGGCCAGGGGGATGGGACCCTTCCTGGGCAAGGAGGAGGCCACAGGGTAGGGACGGTCTGGTCCTTCTCTTCCGGGGAAGGGATCAAGGGCAAAGGGCTGGGTGCCAGGGGAGCCACAGCCTCCTTCATCCCTGTCACTGGGCCCCACTTCACCTGCAGCTGGAGGCCCACAGACATCCCCTGAACTCCCCCTGGCTGAATGCTCTCTCCCATCTTGCCCCCTGGTTCCGTGAGGGTCTTGTGACTGGAGAACTCAGGCTCACAGGGGGACGCGTTGGTTCTCATAGACAACCAGCCAGGCTCTAGCTGCACCCTCCGCGGTGCCCTTCCCTGAGTACCGTGCCTGGAAGGTGGGCCTGTGCCACGGGACCCCACAGTCTTGAGGGCAAATGTGGTGCAGGCCAAGCACCAGACAGGAAGCCAGAATGACTCCAGGGACCCGGATTCCGTCCTGGGCACGGCTCCCCGCTTGCCTCCCCCAGCTGCCCCATTTACCTTTCTGCGGGGCCACCTGCACCTTCTGCGTCTCCCTCCTCATCTCAGCTACCTTCTTTCTGTAGTACAGGAACTCCCTGCTGTTCTTATCGTGCAAAAACCTGGCGCGGGTTTGACAAAAGAGGGTCTGAGCAGCCAGAGCAAGGAGGTCACCCACCTCCTGGGGCCGTCAGACCGCAAGCAAGCTGCACTGTTGCACCCCTACCCCCTTGCCCCCAAAGACACTCACGAGAAGGCGGGGTTGTCCTTGTAATCCTCCATGGCCACCTTCTCTAACTCCGGGCCACCTTCCGCCACAAAGCGGGCCAGTTTCTCTATCACTTTCCTGGTCTCGACTCCCTCTGGGGGTGAAACTTTAAGGAGGCTGTCAGTACAGGGGCTTATCTCAAACACCCCACAGTCAACGGGCACACTCTCTCTGGGGACCACAACGACAGAAGGTGGGGAGAAGAAGGTGAGAAGTGAGGTGTCAGCACCTGGTCTGTGCACACAGCACCAGGGACAGGGGGGTCATCTGGCCAGCTGGCATGAGCACAAGGGCAGAGAGGGGGCCAGGTGTTGGTGGGAACGTATCCACCCAGGACCGGGAGGTCTTGGAAAGTATGTCGGGTCGTGGGGTTTTGTTTTTTGGAATGAGGTGAAATGATTAATTCTTTTATTGACCACTTTCCAGTATGCAAAGTCAGTTCCCTATTCCTCCCCTTTCTACCTCAGGAGGGCCTACGGAGCTCAGGAAAGCTGCCCCTGGTCTGTCCCCTGGTACCACCCAGCGAGAACAGGCGTGGGGACAGGCTGCTGCCAGTCCCATGCACGCAGTCACCGGGGGCCCTGGTGACATGCACTGAGTCATGCCAGTGGCTGCTCCCTCCTAACCCACGGCGACCCAGCACCTTCCTCCCTGGCCCCGCTAGTTCACTCTCACTGCCGCCCTAACTGTGAGACCAGGGGCCCACAGCACAGCGTGCCAGGCAGGGGCTCTGCCTGCACTGTCCCGAGGATGAGCCAGACACAGGGATCCCACGTCCCATGCATTCTCCCACCAGCCCAGCGCTTCCCTCCCCCTCCGGGTGTGGTCTTGGGCCCCTTCTAATGGCAGGCCCTGCCCTGCCCCTACCTTTGATCTCTAGCCACTGCTCATAGTCCTCTTCGTCGTCGTCATCAGGGGACTGGAAGACACTGGGCCGGGTGGCCACCGGGAGCTGCTTGGCGTGCGAGTATGTCTTCCCCAGGCCCGGTGGGCCGCCCAGCCCCAGGCCCGCCCTCTTGGTGAGCAGCAGGGGCCTCCGCACAGTGCTGGGGGTGGGTGTGCTGGGTGGGGCGCTGGCTGAGCTGGGGGGGGCATCTTGGAGAGGAAGGAAAGTCCTGTCACATGTGCTCCCAGGGCCACTCCCAACCCACAAGTCACCCAGAAGCACCCACAGGGACAACACCTATTCTAGGGATGACAATACTAAAGCTCGGCAACAAGGACTTGTCCTGGTCACCAGCCAGAGCCTGGCCTCTGCTGACAGCGCTCCCAGGACACGCAGACCCACACCTCCACTCCAGGAGGAAAGTACAGCCCCCAACGGCTAGGGAGAATCAACTGCTGGTGCCAAGCTTCCACGCCTGGCATGAGTGGACACACAGTGGGCTTGGGCAGCTCCTCTCTTGGTGAACTGTCCTTTAGCAGTCTTGGGGGTCTGAGGGCAGCTGAGTGTCAGCGGCTCACAGAAAGTGACCTCTGACTGGTCAATTGCGCTGTTGCACATATGGGCAGCCCTGGCACTGGGCCACCGCCCAGCATTCTCCTCGGTGCTCCTGCAGGTCAGTGGTCCACACACCTGCACCCGGGGTCCTATCTCTGCCCTGGGTTATCCTGGATGGGGAGATGCCCTGGGTGCACTACTGGGAGATGCAGTTCAGTGTGGGGCTGACTGGGCCCAACCAAGCCACAGTCCTCCATAATTCCACAGAGACAAGAGCAGAGAGGCCACATGGAGTCCCTGCCGCAGCTGTGGCCAGGCCAGGTCTGCACTCGCACTGGGTCCTTAGGCTTGGTCTTTCTAAGCCTTGATTTCTTTTCAAGGATGGGAGATGTTAGTATGGTGGGGGGCCTGGGAAGGGGGAGGTCTACCCTCCAGGGAGATGTGGGCTGGGCAGGGGGTCCACAGAGTATGGGGGCAGCCCTACTCACCCGAGGAGGTCTGTGCCTGCTGCAACTTCAGAAACTGCTGCAGGAAGCTGCCGTCATTGGCAAACTTGTTGGAAATGGAGGACGAGTCTTGTGCGTTTGCGATTCTAGACCAAGAGTGAGAGAGGACACGGATAAGCAGGTGGAGTGGAGGCAGGGCAAGGGCCGTGGCAGCCCCACATCTGAAAAATGGGCCCTGAAGCGGAAGCACAGGGAACACAGGACAGGCTTTTGAGCCGGAGGCGGGCTGCTCCCATTCAGGAAAAACGTCCCATGTGATACGTCCTTACTGGGTCTTTGCTTGTACCCTGCCCCCAGGTCACCCCAGGATGGGCCCCTGCAATATGAGTCAACACTTTTAACAAGACGAGTGCCCGCTTTTCCTGCGTCTCTGCCCTGGCCAGGCCGCCAAAGTGCGCAGGGAGAACTTGGGCCTGTCCCATGTGACCGTGACTTCCATACATGCCAGCACATCCAGGTGAGTCACCCGTGGCAGCCTGGGAAATAGTCACCAGGGCACTCTCTCTCCAGTGGACTTGCTTGTTTTTGTTGTTGGTGTTTTCAAACCAATGTCTTGGCACTTAAGCCACATAGCATACAACTCAATAGTTCAATTATATCGAGAAGAGTTGCCCAACCATGACCACAATCATTTTAAAACATGTTTTTCTTCCTGGCACTCACTGTTGTTAGTGTGATTATTATTTTTCAATTGTGGCAAAAATAGACACCACAAACATTCTCCAATTCAGCAACTTCTACAGGTGTGCTTCAGTGCCCCGGACTGCACTCTGTGCTCGACTTGCTCATTTTGGTTTTGTTTTCTTGGCAGAGGGTTATGTTTCCCTTTGTAAATCAAAAGGCAAACCCAAGGGCCTAACTACCGTATACACTCGAGTATAAGCCGACCAGAATATCAGCCGAGGCACCTACTTTGAAGTTGTTTCTTCTAGAAAACAGGAATGCAGGAAAGCAAGGGAGCCCGCCCCCTCTCCAAGTTCCTATTTGGGGTGTTTGCTTGGCAGCCTGAGAAGGCAGAGGAAACGTCTGCACCTGCCAACTGCACCCTCCCTCCCTTAACCCGTCACCCAGCCAGCCTCAGGCATCCCCGCTCACGTTGCTCCTCAGGCCACCCGAGGGTCTAGTGCTGCTGTGTCGGATGAACGTCTAGCCCTTTGGAGATCTGCTCTAAGAAGCTAGGGCTTAAGCAACAACAAGGGGTGCTGGTTTCACAAACCCAGGGACGTCCAGAAGGCAGATGAGGCAGCCCTGGGAGGTCAGGCTCCTGCAGCAAAATGGGCCAGACCCCCCACCCACAAAACAGCCTTGTTAAGAGTGGATTTGCAGATTGCCAGGAAAAACACCTCAAACCCAGCCAGGGGGCTGCACAGCAACCCGAGGGGATTCTCTTTCTCCTTTCAATTCTTACTCTGTGTTCCAGATTTCCTGCTGAGCGTTTAAGCTACCTTTTGGCATTAACCAAGTAGGTCCCCAGTGACCCTTGGCGGGGGCAGGGGGGGTCACCTCATACTGCTGAGGACTTGGGGAGCTGTTGTACATCCAGGTGGCAGATGGATTCCACCAAATGTCTCGAATACCATGAGGAGGGATATACAGCCAACAAGAGGCTGGTTCTTGACGAACAAAGCAAGCACACCGTGGTGACACCGTGCAGCTATAAAGATCGTGAGGCGTCTGCGACACACCTTCCAACGACACACCTTCCAACATCGATGCATCTGGAGGAGGTTACTCTGAGTGAAACAAATCCATCACCCAAAGACAAGTATCGTACGTTGCCATTACTCGAAAAAGCCAAGAAAGAGAAAGTCACGCAGAAAGCCAAGTTCTTGGATGGTTACCAGGACGGGGAGAAAGCGGGAGGAGAATCGCTTTCTAGACCCACGTTGACATACTGTGGGTGAGGGGAACCAAAGATATCCAAACTCATGGCCATCAAGTGGATGCCGACTCACAGCGACCGAGAGCACAGCTAGGGCTGCCCCTGTGGGCTGCTGAGACCGCGGCTCTCTGCGGAAGCAGAAAGCTTCACCTTTCTCCCTTGGTGTGGCAGCTTATGCTTTAGGCTGCTCCCAAAGGTTAACAGTTTGGACCCAGCAGCTGGTCTGACAGAGAAAGCTATGGCGGTCTGTTCCTGTGAAGGGACGTGCCGCTGGGAAGGACATCACTGGTATTTTACATATCAGCAGGGTCACCCGAGGTGACCAGACTTCAGAAGCGCTTCCAAACTAAGAACAGACAACGAAGAAGGAACACGCTGTCTGTTTCTAAAGAGTACGCCTTGGAGAACCTTATGAATAGCATCAAGAACAAGAACTCGGGCTACTATTGCCCTCAAAGAACCTTTCATCAAGGAGCTGTGGTTATTTTGTAGGTCCCCTTTCAGCCAAAGAGCTCAACTACATGAATCATTAAAACGATGGATAGCCTTCAAAATGGGAGTTCCAGAACACTTCCCTGTGCACATGTGGAACTTGTACATGGACCAACTCGTATGAACACAAGGGCGTGCTGCAGGGTTTTCAGTCAGGAAAGGTGTGCGTCAGGGTTGCATTCTCTCACTGTACTTATCCAATCTGTACGCTGAGCACATCATCAGAGAAGGTGGACTGCAGCCTCGGGACCGGAGGAAGGCTTATCAACCCGCCACATACAGACGGCACAACCCTGCTGGCTGAAAGCGAAGAGGACTTCGAGCACTTGCTGAGGAAGATCAAGGATTGCAGCCTTCAGTGTGGGTTAGGACTGCGTAAGGAGCAAAACCCTCACCACTGGACCAGTAGGTCACATCGTGATCAATGGAGTCAAGGCTGAAATTGTCGAGGATTCTGTCTTGGAGGCATCCACAACCCACGCTCACGGAAGCAGCGGTCAAGAGGTAACACGATGCATTTGCATTGTGAACCTGCTGCACAGGCCTCTTTAAAGTGTTGAAAAACAGGAGGTTCCTTTGAGGACTAAGGGGTGTCTGACCCAAGCCAGGGACTTCTCACTTGCCTCAGATCCCTGGCAAAGTTGGACAAGGCATAAAGAAGGCAGAAAAAGAATCACCAAGATGGGGTACGGTGCTGACAAGGAACACTGAAAGCGCCGCGGCTGGCCAGAAGCACAAAGACTTCTGCCCAAGAAGAAGTACGGCTCCGTGCTCCTTCGAGCACGGATGGTGAGACTTCATCTCACGCCTTCGGACATGCTGTCGGAGAGACCCGCCCTGGGTAGAGGGGAGGGGCAGCGAAGAGGGCCCTCAGTGAGATGGATGGGCTGGTGGCTGCAACAATGGGCTCAGGCACAGGAACCAATGTGTGGACGGCACAGGACTGGGCCGTGTGTTGGCCTGGTGCACATGGGTCGCTTTGGATTCAGACTGGCTCGATGGCCCCTGACAACAACACATAGCACCCACCGTTGCACCCTTGAGTCACGTACTCCCTCCTCAAACAATGAGCGCCAGGAGACCAGATACCCCAAAGAGAAGGTGAGAAGGCCAGACAGAAGGAAGCTAGATTAGCGAGAACAGAACCGGCAGCACGGAAATAAAGCGAGGCTACAACGGAAAGCTTGTAACCAACGGCGCAGTAACATCACTAGGACCCTGGAACCAGAGCTGCTTTCCCCTAAAGCACACAGAGAGCCCGGGTGGGGTACCCACCTTGTTACTCAGCCTGAACCGGAGTGAGGGGAGCCCTGGCGCCACGCCTGTGGACTCACTGGTTGCTAACAGGCAGCATTGAGGTCATGACAGAAGAGCCATTGGCTGCACTTGACCTGGCTTTGCTTCCCCGAAGGTGAGAACATCTTAGGTCTGGCCACTTTCTCCCCTTATCAAAAGGAAAGCATTTACTCGCCTGATATTGCTAGAGGACCCTTGTGTGTTGAAGTTCTCATTTGCTACTTTATGGTGGGATGTCATTCCCGTGGCAGGACTTTCTATAGAGCACTGGTGGCAGAGTGGATTAGGTGCTGAGCTGTGAACTACGAGGTCAGCCGTGTGAACCCACCAGTTGGTCTGAGGGAGGGAGGGGAGGTTTTCTGCTCTAGGACAGACGGACAGCCTTGGAAACCCAAGGGCCAGCTCTGTTGGTCTACAGGGTCACAATGAGTCAGAACTCGATGGAAATGGCTTTTTAAAAAATTTTAATGCTTTTTAGATCTTTAACTTAAAATTTTAAAATTTGGTGTGACTTGCTTTGGCTTTTGAGGGCCACTTCCAAACCAACTGGACCAGGCACCTTTCTGCCTATCCCTTCCAGCCCGAACCTGGTGCTATGATCTGGTAGCTTGGCTGAGACCCCTGGGAGCCCCTCTTGGAGGGATGCGATTGGGTTTAATCATTTTCCCTCCCCCCAACAGTTTTAGTGAAATATATACCACATATCACATGCTTCCAAATGTCAGTTGTATTTGAAAGGCTGCATAAGGTTGGGGAGGACAGGATGGGGTGTCGTCATCACTACAGTCAGTTCTAGAACATCCTCCCCCTCCTGTATGCATTATCTGCTCCCCATTTCTTTCCAGCCCCCGGCCCCCACCCCCACCCCCGTGAAGCCATTACACCAGTTATCATCTCGATACATCCACCCACCCTGTGCTTCACATACTGGTAAACAGATCAAACACAAAATAAAGCAGACAGCAAATACATTAGGGGGGAAAAAAGGGTGAATGAAAATATTAAAATAAGCCAGAAAAAAATGTCTGTCAAGGAAAAAAAAGCAGGGAATATTGAAAAAGGGCCTGTCCAAGTCCAAGGGTTTGATCTGAGTCCTTCCACAACTCAGTGAGAAAGTCCTTGAGCCCATTCCAGCTGGGCACTCGACCTGCGCCTGAATCCCTGGCGTGTGCTGACTTTGGCACCAATGACTTCAGTACAGTGGTTTTCAACCTGTGGGTTGCAACCCCTTTGGGGGTCGAGCGACCCTTTCACAGGGGTCACCCAATTCAACAAGAGCAAAATGACAGTGATGAAGTAGCAATAAAAATAATGTTATGGTTGGGGGGGTCGGGGAGGGGGCCTTTGTGGAGCACTCATACCTACACATGGGAGTCCAGCAGGAAGGGTGATGAGCCCCCTCTTGCCTGCAGTCCTGGCCGCTCCTCCCTCCCAGCAGTCAGAGTCTCGGAGCACACAGTGCAATCCGAGGTGCTGTCACTTAGCCGCTCAACTGGGGGCAGGTACTGTTGGGGAGGACAGGATGGGGTGTCGCCGTGCCGCACTTAATCTCTCGGCAGCTCTGAGGTACGGCCTCATACACCCCCTTCACTGACCGGCTGTAAGCACCCTAAGAGCAGGGGTGGGCTACATCGTGCTCTAGGTACATTTACTCCGCAGGAATGCACCACTGAGAGAGAGAATGCTCCTGGGCTGTAGCCCTCGGCTTCCTGAAAGGGGTGTCTGGGCCTCTCCATGGTCACCAGGCTGTGGCTGGTGTTTGTGCCCGCTGACTGTTCTGGAAAGCATAAATGGGGCTGGTGACTGTCCAGGTTCCAACCCAGGTCCCCAGGGACACTTACTCTCCAGGCTTCGAGGTGACCACCACCTGGTTCTGCTTGGCTTTCTGCTCCATCTTGGCTTCGATTTCCCGTTTCTTCTGAGCAATGAGCTCTTCCTGGTGAAGGATGTTCATGTTCATTTTTCCAGACTTGGGGGGGGCCACCCCAAACCACCGGTTAGCCTTTCCTGGAGAAGAAGAAGCAGCAGGGTCAGAAGTCACCTTTGTATACGATGCGTCCTGCTACCTGTTTTGGGCTGACAGCAACTGTCCCTGGTTGACTCGCATCTGTTCACGCCTTCATTCAGAAAGCACTGAGTGCAAGACTCTCACTCTGGGCAGCCCCTCCACCCCACCCTACTCATGTCAAGAGTAAGTCTGCTTCTTAAGAGTTTCCAATGGCTGGTTTTTTTTCAACAGGTTGCAAAGCCTTCTTTCTGAGGTGCCTTTGGGTAGACTAGAACCGCCAGCCTTTCTTTCGGCTAGCAGCCAACCATGAACCGTGTGTACCCCAGTTAGGTTGAACAGACAATAGACAGTACCAGAAGACTAACCTCAAATTATGATCAGATCTCTGCCATAAAGAGACCAAAAATCCGAAGCACATTCTGTGGGGCTGACAGTGAATCACGGTGACCCGTTTGGACAGCAGAGAACCATCAGGGTATGGGGCTCTATTTCTAGGTGTTCGCCTACTAGCCAAAACATTGGGGGTTCCAATCCACCCATCAAACAGGTGCCTCATGAAACAGGCCTGGTGATCTACTTCCCAAAGGCCTTGGATTCCTGAGGTTGCCATGAATCAGAGCCAACTAGGAGCCATCTTGACAGAAGCAGCCCCCATCTACCTTCCATGGCGCTGCTGGGTGGACTTAAGTACAAACTACCTGTACCACCTCAAACCGAATCCATCGGCGTTGGTTCTGACTGACAGTGACTTTCTTAGAGTTTCTTTTTTCTTTCCAATAGTTTCATTGCTATAACATTCACGCAGCATATAGCTAGTTGCTTTTAAAAGCATTGTTTGGACATCACAATCAGTTCTCGTGCACCCTCCTCTCTCCTGTTTCATTATTTGCTCCCCAATTCCCCTCAGCCTCCCCCATCCACCCTCCAGAAGCTATTAATCAGCCACTGTCTCCAAGCCTCCACTCTTTCTCTGCTTCATAAACTGGGAGATACAACGGAAACAAAAAAAGCAAAAGCAAAACAGGGAACGGGAGGTAGGAAGACCACCAGCAATATTTATATAAGCCTGAGAGATCTGTCTTGGAACAAGTGAAAGAGTTTTAAACCTGGAGCAAATTGAGGATGGGTCAAGAGGGAGACGAACTGACCAGGCATCCTTTTATACCACCACCTTTCAATCCACCACAATCAAGTTTATGATACTCTGTCTAACAGTAAGGCTGTCTGAATCCCTTGTCTGAGGCCAGAGGGGATTTGCCAGAGGTGTGAGCTGACTAGGTCCCCTGCAGTTGGATTCTGGGCTCTGTCCTCCATAGCCTTCTGCGGTATTGCATATCCACAATTTAAGCTCCGATTCCTTTGCCTTCATCACATTTGGATGTTGTTATTTGTCATCTTTGGATCACACAGACTGGTGTGTGCTTCGTGTGGACTTCGTTGAAGCCTCACTTGATGGCTGCTTGTTTGAATACAAGTCTCTAAGGTTTCTGAGGCTGTAAATCTTCACAGGAGCCAGGTCTCCTCCTGTGTCTCCTGTGAAGCAGCTAGTGGGTTTGACCCACCGACCTTTGGGTCCTTCCTGGACAGTGCCATCAGGGGCTCCCTTACTTGCTCTGAAAAAGGGTGGGAAAGAGCAATCGGGGAGCTCCTACACAGCAAGAGTGCCCTGCCGGACGAAGCCTGCTGGAGGAGGGGCGTTGGCACTAACCCTAAAGGAGAAGGGGCCAGCTTCTTGAGCACACACAAAGGGAGTAATCTGGACAGAGGAAGAACGTTCATGAGTTCAAGGTAGAGCAAGGGGTCCAGTTGTAGCCAGAACAGTCCCTGGAGGGAAGGGTGTCGGGAAATGAGGTTAAGAGGAGCCATGGCAGAGGGGTGGGGGTGGGTGGGTGGGTGTTTGAATCCAGGAGCTTTTGGAGTAAGAGAGATGAAATCTTTAGCTCAGGAATGTCACCAGCTGCTGTTACCGTGTTCCGACTCCAGTGACCACATGCGCAACAAGAGAAATGCTACCAGGCCTGCTCCATCCCCAGGATGCATTACTGATTGGATTGTTGTGATCTGTAGGGTTTTCTTGAACTGTATTTCCAGATGTCAGGCCTTTCTTCCTCGTCTATCTTAGTCTGGAAGTACCACTGAAACCTGTGGCCGCCCCGCATGGGGTGCCTGCCCCTCATAGAAGGCGAGCATTCTAGCTGATTGGAGAGCATGTAGAAGCAGCAAGAAAACCAAGGAAGAGCAATGTGCAGACCTCCGAGTGGGACCTCTGTCTTCAGATTAGGACTCGTAACCTCGAAGATGGCGAAGGCAACACAAAGGGTTCCTATGGGGTTCGCGGGAAAACCTAAATTCTGGAAGCTCTTCCCAGGTTCTTCCAATGGCCATGCTGGTCCCACCCCGGTGCTTTGGCATCTGCTGCTCCATCTGCTTTCTATCTTGACCTCTTGTCTTCCCATAGCTGGCACTTTCGCTTCGGGAGTGGCTCCTCTTTGGAGAGGCCTTCCCAGTCATCCAGGACCCCATCCCACCTCCTCTCTCACACCATCACAATTCTACCGTCGTAAACATGTGCTCACTTATACTTCGCAGAAAGAAACCTGCACGAAGGCAGGGCCCTAGCTTGGTGACCCCAGTACCTCCAGTGCCCACAACAGTTCTGGGCACACAGGGAGCCCTCCCTCCCTATTTGCATGGGAGATTTATTAGGACTGAGGGCGAGGGATCTTAAAGCAGGGCCTGTGGCTAAGCAGGGCTCAAAGATCTGGGAAAAGGGTGTTAAGGGGAATCCCGGAACAATCAGGGGAAGCAGCTTTTCCAGGCACCGGCGAACAGGCCAGAAAGCAGTTGCTAAGAAAAGGG